TTCAACGAATACCATGACTTTGTTATCTTGGAGGTGAAAAATCTGATATTAAAAACATTTTGTATTATCATATAAATTAAGTTCTTTTTAAAAAACAATTCAAGCATTAAATAATCATCATTGGTAAAAATTCTGGAAGCCTCAAAAGTTGAACAAAATTTTTCAGAACTTTTGAGACATTAGTAAGGATACTGTTAACAAACACCGCAGTTTATGGTAACCTTTAGAAAGATAAAACGTATGCATCGCTAAATTAAATAGTATGGAAGGATACATGTGAACTCAGGTATATCTATTATGTAATCCCAAATCGCAAGTTAACCAACTACTATGTCCAGCACTGCTTAATTTGGATTAAAGAGAAGAATAGGTGGTACTAAATTCGCTGCAACTTCTATGAGTTCAAGTGAAACGTTGCGTAGAGTAAGCAGTATTAGATTTACATTCATGGCAAGGAATTTAATATGAATGATATGCATTTTCAACTCTTTTATGGAGATAATTAGAACTGTTATTAATAGAAATCGGTACATAAAGGACATTTCAGCTTCAATCAGCAAGCTCTAAGGATGATCCAAAAACTTTAAATAGCAATACCTGATACAGATGTAGATTATTCACATCTGTGCTAAATTTGTAAAGTAGTCTCCTTATTATTACATATAATTCAAGAAATTTTAAAGTAAGATTTGGATTATAAGGATGGGTGAGGAGTATATCTAACCAATCTTTATATTAATCACTAATAACTGATTTAATTAGTATGGTTTAGAAAATGCATAATTCACACTAAGAGTTGATTAAACAAAAAATAATCATTAGCCATTAAATCAATTAGCTGTGAAATGAGTTATTATTCAAGTAAGATGAACAGTATACAAGTAACATAACTTTCTAGTAAAAGCTAAAACTCCATTTCAAGGATTGAAGGTCATTTAAATGATGGTACGCATTATGTTTTGCTTCTGTCTGATAGATAAGGGGGCACTGTCAGTTAACTTAATGAAAAAATAATAAAATGTTTACTTTTTTAACCAGCTGTTATGATGGATGATGGTTTTTCGTGTAGGCTTAAATGTGTACCGTTGAGTCCAAAATTTCAATTTCAAGAGTGATAACTGTTCAATTTGATAGATCATATATTAAGAACATATAAATTTAACATAGTACTAACTATTACAATGAAATTTACAAATCATGCTAATTAAGTTATTGCTTGCTAATATGTTGTACTAATTGTATTCTTTTTGTGCAATAGAAATAATAATAACGTTAATCAACCTTCATGCTAGCAGACATTTATATAAAGTCTCCTACATTACAAGTGCAAAAATTGTTAGGTATTATGCAGGAAAACACCTGAATTTTATCCTTACGTAATATACATAATACCTAAAACACCCAAAGAAAGTTTAACTTTAACCTATGTGTCAGGAGACTTGAACTCAAATAAAACTCTTAATAAATGGAGGAGTAAAACAATTATAGGATTTTGTTAATGACATTCAATTAGAGAGTAATCTAAGAGTTAAAGGAAATAAAATTTATGTGCTGAAAGATTAAAGTAAAAATAAATAACATACGGAATAATATTCAACTGAACGATCAAGGTAAATTAATAATTTTAGTTAGGAAATTTTCTTATTTATCAGAATATTTGATTAACAAGCATATTAATAATAACTGCCCGAAGCAACAAAATCTCTAAATTCAAAAGGTACTCATTGTAATTTTTTGAGTAGTAAAATAAGAAAACAATGGACTGTGTTGATTATTTTAGAATGAAATTTAGTTGAAAAAAATTTCATTCTATTCTGCTAGTTTTTAGAAGAAAATAAAGTGAAGCTAGATCATTTATTTAAGGAATTACGAAAGGAGTGATTTTTACGGATTAAATAGTTCAATTAGGAATATATATAATTGCAGAAACAGAATTAAAAGTTTAAATCATAATAAGGTTACTGAGGATCAAACTCATCAATAATCTAAAATAGATTACCCTCCATTTAATTGGACCTTCATTAAGATATTCTCATTCATACAATTTATAATTAGTCCTATGATAAATTACAGCATTCTTACGATAAGGATTAATGATTATTCATAAAACAGGAAGCCAGAAGGCCAATTCAAAATTTAACCAATATTTTAATTTGATCATGATAATTTTTTCTGGACAAATATCAAATTCATTTACAAAGTTTTTCAATGAATTTTGATTCTTTGTACTTTAAGCAGAATAATCTCATTTATAATAGCCAAAACAAACATTGAGTCCCCAAACAAATGCTAAGGTTTAATAAGGCTAAATTAAAACAACTATAACTGAAATTGGACAGAAAAAATTGCCTGTTATGAATGAATAATTATTTTAAAGTTATGAATGACAGAAATTATTTGGATCATCTTTATATAACTTTGGTGATATTTTCATCTATATTTTATTTTATTGATAGTAAAATTGAGGATTAAAAACTAATATAATTATGTATTCTTTTAGATTGAAGCTTTAGGCTTTTAAAAGAGATTTTTTGATATGAAATTTGAATGTATTCTTAAATTTGAGAGTCAATATTGCATATTTATCTATTTGCACTTAATCCTTCCAATAATTTCCTATGATATCATAAATTCAATCATTTTTTTATCAGTAAAATCCAATTATTTTGTTTATTGACTCAAAAGTTTGTGAAGAATAGAATGAGTTTGGTTAAATCTCTTCTCAATAATTTATCTAAACTTAAAATTAGCTCTAATGAATTAAAGGAATTACTTGAATTTCCAATTTGGAAGAAAAGAATATTAAATACTTTTTGTTGAATATTAATTATCTTGTATTACAAGAATAGCTGGAATATATTTTTATCTACAAAGCAAATAATTATAGCATTTTGAATATAATATAAAAATTGTTTACATCAAATGCATTAAATACATTGAATAATGAGAAGAATTTAATAAAAACTAATATTTAATTAAGTTGTTTATACATTACTACATTAGGAACAGATTTTGCTTTGCTGATGAATTAAACTAACTATTAGCTAATTATTTTGAATTATATTGATATCTAGGTAGGTAAAAATAACAACATGAGATTGTATCTCAAAAAAAATAAATTAAATTTATATATTGATATTAAATTGAGATTCTTATTTTAGATCCCTTTTTCAAAATTATACTCATTCAATTGGAAAAACTTAAGTATAAATAAACGAAATACTCTTATCTGAAAACAAACTGATTTAACTTCGAAAGAAATAATAAAATTTAAATTAAATTGTCTAAATGGGATATAAGAATATTTAACCTATTGGAGGTGAAAATAAGGAGAGAACAATAAAGAAATATTAATCAGGAAGCAAAGGTAAAATTCAGGATAACTTCATTTATTGTTCATTTTGAGTTTATTAATAAGTTTTGGGGCGTTTGTATCTGACCATAAAAGTAATAATCAAAATAGCATCTTTAAATCAAGTTTTGATTATTAATGATATATGCAATTATTCATTTTTTAATTCCATCATTAAACGTTTAAATTCATCCTCATTTGATTTGCAATACTTAATTGCCTGCTCATAATTCTCTATAGCTTTTGAGTAATTCTTTATATTTTTTAGCAAATCACCTAATTTAATCCAGAAATTATAAACCTTTACTGATATAAGCCTTTGCAAAATTTGGATCTATTTGGATTGCTTTATCATAGCAATAAATTGCATCATAGTTATTATTAAGTTTTTATAAAGCGATACCTAATAAAGTCAGAAATTACAAACCTTTATTATTATAGACCATTATAAAATTTGGATCTAATTGGATTGCTTTATTGTAGCATTCAATTGCATCTTTGAAATTATTAAGATTTTATAAGGCATTACCTAATATAATAAAATATATACCTTTATTATTATAGGCCAATGCATAATATGGATTTATTTAGATTGCTTTATCATAGCAAACAATTGCATCATTGAATTTATTAAGATTTTATAAGACACTACCTGAGATAATCAAGATATTAAAAACCTATACTATTAAAGACCATAGGATTATTTGGATTTAGTTGTATTGCTTTATCATAACAATCAATAGCATCATCATATTTCTTAAGACTATCTATCCTCCCTTATTGTACTCTTGTTTTGTTGTAAGACATTATCTAATTTAATAAAGAAATTACACACCTTTATTATTATAGGTCATTGCAAAATTTGGATTTAATTGGATTGCTTTATCATAGAATACAATTGCATCAGAGTAATTCCCAAGACTATCCAAGGCACTACCTATTACTATAAAAGAATTACATACCTTTGTTATTATAAGCCATTGCGAAATTTGAATCTAATTGGATTGCTTTTTCATAACAAGCAATTGCATCATTGTAATTATTAAGATTATATAAGGCAGTGCCTAAAATAATGACTTAACAATACCCTTAATAAAATAACCAATACTGTACTATGGATTATATTTTAGAGCTATATCAATACATGAAATTGTTTATGAATATTGAGTCAAAACATATAAGGAGTAGCCTGTTTATTTAATATAAATAATTACTTTTTCTATATAAAGCGTGAAGATATTTGGGTTCTTCTCTCAAAACTTTTTCGCATACTTCAATCACCTCTTGAAATTTCTTCTCTTCATTTAAAGCATAGCCTATATACATCAAATAATCAATTAACTTTTTGTTATTAACATAAAAAAATTATATGGTGTTTTGATTAATCCTTGATCTGAAAATTCCAATAGATCATTATACAAGTTATGATTAATCTTTTTGGCTTATTCTCTCATAATCATTCCTTATCCTGGTTAATTCATTTTGATTATAAAATAATAGGATAATCTAATTTATAAACAAACACTAATTATATATAAATTTATAGAACTACTTTTGAAAAGGGTTGCCAATGAATATTGTTTTTCTGATAATTTTATGTATTTAGTAATCTTTTCATCAGCCTCCTGCCATTTTTACTCATTAATTAATTGAATTGCTAATTGAATAATAAAACACTTGTATACCTTGCTAGAGCTCATCTTCATTATCTTATTTAAAATGTTAAATTTATTATCCCTCTTAAAAATCCAAAGCTTTTATCATTCTTTTTATTCTAACTAACAAAGTTCCTATAAATATTTCATATATAGAATACCACTTTAATTCTGCTGCATAATTTCCTCCTAATTGTTGAAATATTAATACCATTCCTTAATCACTTACAAATTGTCTTTCATTTATTAATAATCTTATTGATTGAAACATTCAGATATCTTAACTAATTGTATTTTTAAATTTTCTAATTATTTTGAGAATTCTTCATATTTTACTTTGACTTAGGCGAATGATGTTTTCAATTAGATGGTTATATTAAGTATATTCTAATTGAAATTTGCGATAAAATTTTAAATCTAAACAAATCCTTTTAGATTTTTGTTGCAATTAGAATGTTCTTAGAGTCTATTCCACATTAGAGACAGAACTAAGCTCTTGAATCCTAGCATCCCAAATTTAAACAGAAACCCTAAATTACTTCTCCTTCGTGCCCAATATCTTAACACGTAAATAATTTCATTAAATTAATGTTTATTTTATAAAACAGATTAAACCTTGATTTTAATATAATATTTTCATAAATATATTGATGTAGTTTTTTTCCATTTAAGTTTTAGAAACGATTATAGGATGATGATTATATAATTCACCAATAAATTTCATTATCAAATTAGATGTTCCAAAACAATAGATTACTCAGTAACAGACTCACCATTCTCTTTTTCTTATCAAATAAAGAGATGAAAATTTGTATTCACAAAAATACACTTTTTATATATTATTGACAACTATCTCTTTAAGAGCAACACTCAACTGAAATATCCTTTGTTTGAGAAAAACAATTCTAACTATAACTATTCAAATATTTGTTATAGCAAGTCTGAAATGTAAATGAATTATTTATTCATAAAGCTGATTTGATAACCCAATTAATCAATAACTCCCCACTTTTATTATATTAAACTTTTTCATTCCAAATTTTAATTTATCCAGTACACAAGATGTAAATCAATTTCTAGCCATTTAAACTTAATCCATATCACAATTATTATGATCCTCTAGTATATTGATTAATAATGAAGTGAAGTTTATGTCTAAATAATTTATTCTCATATTAGTAAGAATCTTTAATGTAATAATTAGATGTTTGATAATAAAATAGTATGATAATAATGAAAATGTATTATAAATAATAATATTAAATATTATATCCAAAAGATGAAATGGCCTTCATCTAAATCTATAGCTTACTATTATTAGTAATACAAAATGTTACTTTAAATTGGAATTTTAACTTAAGATGGATAAATTCTATTTCCAGTTATTCGACCTTAGTATTAAATTATGGAGTAATGAATATTGTAAATTATTATCTAGTGTTAAACTGATACTGCTAGTATATATTCTCAAATACAGAATAAAAGCAAATACATAAAAAATTTAAATTACCTACCTTTATATATTAAAGATAATATTATAACATCTTTTCTCGAAATAAATAGATCCATAAGGATAAAAAATTAGCATCCATATTGAGCTGAGGTTGCAAATTTCCTGCAGATCGAATTAAAAATAGATGAAGGTATGTGTGAGGATAGAAATCAGTATGTAATGTATTAGAAAGAGTATTTCTGGTACACTTTTCAAAGATACAGGAAGGCTAATATCAAAAATGCCTCACTTGTTTAACCTAATATGGGATCATTTGCAAATTTTACACAGTTTTTTATGCATTATGTTCAGATAAGTTGATCCTATATCGGTAAGAAATTTAGGCTGTTTTCTTCAAGTAATGCAGAATATGCAGGCACCTGCACGAATAGATAATGTGCATGTAATGAAAAGCCCCATTAAGAATGAATTAGATTAAGATTTTGTACAACAATTGGCAGCAGCACATCTTGAACAATTAACAGAGCTTTTTCATAGGTATCATTATCATTAACATTTGTGGTAATAAGTGATCTATAAATTTGAAAACCTCTAATAAGTCATCAAGTAAAGTGCTTTGAACAAGGTTGTCAATTAAAATTCCCATCTCCAGCAACACTAGATACATGATGCACAATTGACAAAATATACTTACGAGTTTGAAGTGCTAGCAATATGTTGATACTAAAGTATAACTCTAAAACGTAAAAAATATTTGAGTTTCAATTGTGTTGAAGACAAAAAATATTTATGATTGTAGATCTACTGAAATAAGTTGGCATTAATTCATATTAACAGCAATATATTTTGTAGTATCAACTAAGACAAAATAGTGAAGCTACATTTAGGATATGGTCCAGCTCTTTTATTAAAACCCTCTTTATTTGGATAGCAGCCTTCATAATACGATATGAAATTCACTGATAAAGTAGAACTTATTTAACAGGCACATGATCCTAGTTGCATTTGCGAAAGTAGTCTTACTACTACAATGTTTTGAATTCCAGTCTAAATACTTGTGTCATAAGGTTTAGAACTTATTGAGATTTATAAACTCATTACAGATGTGTGATATGAGGGAAGGGCTTTAATAATCGTAGTCTAAATCATGCCATCGCTTTGAGTTAATGCTTATCACAAACCTTAAGCAGCAGGATTTTTGGAAGTGTTAGGATACTATTAGTTATTCTAACCAACAAAATTCACTCAATTTTTGTTGTAATTCGCCTCAGGATAGCCTGAAATTGAAGTGATGGTTTTCTTAAATCAATTTTAGGAAAGAACAAAATATTGATCGCATCAAAGTGTCAGTACCTAACTTCACTATGGATCACAAGATAAATAACCTTCATTTCTTCTATACACACAAATGGTTTCATTTTATCACTATTTATTGAGAAATTTAAATTACTAAAGGATAATTCATTTGCAGGATAGGCTGGTGCCCATCCAAAGGATAGTCTATATACATCATATGTACCAGGTCATGCACTAGGAAATCTCCCAATAGGTGGTGACTAATGATATTATATGGTTAAACATACCTATCTGTATTTAAACCTTTTTAGAAGCTTGAAATTATTTGAAACACATATTTCGTATGCCCAAAATTATCCTGAGCTCATCTAAGATTACCTCTATCCAAAAACTAAGAAGACAATATTGAAATAGTTTATAAAAGGAATCATAACATCAAGTTTTTACATCAGAAATACTGATAATATCCATAATATCAATTCCTCTTGAATTGAGGATCATAAGGCAATTTTAATGCCTAGCAAATTTTTTACTTTATATAAATCTCAAATAGTTATAGGCTACTCTACAAATAGTTTGGCTATTAATGTGAAAAAGCAAGCCAAGGATAAAGACATATAATACCTGACACAATTAGAAACACTTAGTACACATAAGATACACTCATCTACAAACCTTGAATGATGTAGTAGTTAAATATTTATATGCTAAGTATTGGGTTTTGAGTTAGAAGATTAAGATCTAGAGTAAAGATGCGTCATAGTAATGGCCAACTAAGTGTACAAGGTCTTGTAATATGCTTAATATAATAAATTCTAAATAGCTATATGGGTAGCAAGCATAAGTTTACTTGATCATCAAAGCAAGAGTATTAAGGAGCCTAAAATCTCAATCGTTTGGTTACAAATTGGAGTTCTAAAAAGAGTTTATTAATTATATGATATGTTTGAATTAAACCAAATTGGTTATCTGATGGCTATTGTTTTATTAGAGATACATATATCTCTTATTTCTGGCTCACAATTTGGGAACCCAAGACCATTATTTTAGATGCTCAAATGTAGCACTATAAGAGCAGGTGGTCTCAGAAATAAACATAAAAACTGATTAAACGATTTTATTATTTTAGCTCATATGAGTTAAGAAATGTCAAGTCAATGGAGTTGCCCTTTTTTGGATTTAATTTTAAACATTTACCTTACTTGTATATCTCTTCTCATCTAATCCTCTTATTCGCGAAAGTTTGAGGTCCTTATTTGACAAGCTAACATGTATAATTCAAGTCAACATCATCTCTCCATGCTTACTCAAGTCCTTCCTTTAGCAAATGATTATTTCCTCATCATTTATACAAAAAGATCTTAACATAAGAAGCTCCAATTACCTTAGTAAGGTAAAGTAACTCCCCTCTTTAAATTATGAATATAATTCTGGCGCCCGACTACTTTTTCTTATCAGTGGTTTAAAATTGGTTGCCTTATCACATGGTTAAGGGGTGAAGAGGCGAATAGATTCTTTTGGAAATAATCTGGATCAGCGCTGACTCATTAGATAAGAATTTTTAATGTGAATTTTAATTTTAATAATCATGGATGGTCATGAGTAAAGGGATTTTCTATTTTCTCAGTAGATAATTTTTGGCTTTCACAATATTCATAAGTAGAAATAACCTTGTGTGTTAGAGATTACTACTTGATGGTATTTTTACTCTTGTTCAAATAAAACTGGAGTCTTCAGAGCACATGGCTTGTTCTACTATAATTAATTACATGTGATACACAAAATAATATAATTATCTAGCAATTTATGTTAGAGATGTATACTAGTGTAGCAAAATCCAAATTCTAAGTATCAAGTAACTGTGCAGTTACACTTAGGAAGAGTCAAAGTTTTATGGATCACATATTTGTAAGAAGATTCTTGAAGTTAAGCCATTAATTCAGATTATACCATTGGTAGACAAAATAACATTAGCCTTGACGATTATATGAAGCAAACGTAAACAATGGAACCCATCGTGGCCATCCTTAAATGGGGTGACTGAATCATGGTTTAGCCCTATTCAGATCAAAATAGATGACATTGAAAGTTGCACAAGTCATAATAAATAAGAGGAGAACTTGCTAAAATTAAAGAAGCATCACAATAATGAATACATTGGATTGGCTTTGAAAGGTTGTGTATTACAACTATTGAAGGGATTGGTTTTAGCCTGGATTATTATTTCTATTGTATATACATAACCATTAAGACAAGCTGAGCACGAATATTGATTTTCATCAAGCACCTGACACTGATCTATAAGGTCAATTATCAATGTAGCATCGTTTGACGCTTCAAATCGCTACAAGTAGCATCACCAAGAGATGCAAGTTCTAATATAATAATTGAAAGAAGCAGAACAAAATTGCTAAAATTAGTGAAGTTGACCAAAGTTTACAAGGTAAACCTCCTAAATCTTGTGTTTTAATATTGCATTGAATACAATATTATGTACTGAGCTTAGTCTATGATAGAAGTTGGTACATTTATAACATAATCAAAACATACATTCAGTGCTAAATTGAAAATTATTGCCATATAGAAGAAGATATATGCCAGAATCCTCCTTATAGAAATAATTTAAGTATGCTAGCCTATGGAAGGAAGTCATCATAAAACCTTCACCTTTGAGTATTACATTTATAATTATAGACTTGCTATGATATAAATTAGGTGTCTGAATTTCGACAATGTTTTATATTCCAAAAATTTAATGCATTGTTAGAATTCAAAGTTAATCCTTTGAAAAAAAAGAAGATTTTCATGAATATAGTAACGCTGGTAATTTATTGTTGAGATATCATTTACAAAAGAACTAAAGTACCACAATAGTCATTACATCCATCGACAGACGGACAATTTAGAGTTGAGATCGAAGATTATTTTCTTTAATGCTAATTTCAACAAGATACCCTTACTTTTCTTTTTAAACTTATGCTTGGCTGTTATTATTATTCCCAATTATCAAGAATCCTAACTATATTAAACACAAGCAAGAAGATGACAGATGTAAGTAAAGCATCCTATATAAAAGAAGTGACAACTCAATGATTTAATTCTTAAATCTTCTGATGGCTGGTCATCAACATAAAACATTTTTTAAGGAACTAAAAACAATCATTTGTACCAAATTAAACCAAGATTGCCATAAGGCTAGAATATTGAAAGATTTCTTGAAATCATATAATTATTTTATAGAAGGGAATCATATATGTAGTGGAATTATCTTTTTTGATATGTTTTTAATAATTTGTTTTGTATTTTATATAACCAATCAAAATATGCAAAAGTTTGAATAAAATGATAAATTTAATTACCTCCATATTTTTCAAATTTTTCTTTTCTCCCTAAAAAATGAAAGACACTTTCTGATTAAGAGAATAAAGTTTAAAATAAAGTAATAGAAATTCAATATTATTTTTAAAAAGCATATGAATTGCATACAGCATAACCAATATCAAGTATCAATGATATGTACAGCTCCACACTATTGTAAATGTTAAAGGAAAATGTGTGTTGAATGCCAATATAAACATGGGGTTGATTTGAAATATACAGTTCCAATCAATATATTTCAGGAAATGTTTATGAAGAAATTAAAAGAATGTAATTTGGATGAGACATCTGAAATAACAAAATAGAAGGATAATTTTAAATTGATAATCTCTCAAACTGAAAGGATGATGAAAACAGAGTGGGAACAATTGTCTGAATCAATTAAATTAACATATGATTTGATTGAAGAGAAAAATAAATCTTACTCTTATCTTATCAACCAAATTAATAACCTAGCAGAATCCTCCTATTCTGATATAGAAGAATTAGTTTAAATTTTGGAGGGGAAAAATATGGATGATTGGGGAGATGAGAAAAATGTATATTTAATAAAATTGCAGAAATACAAAAATTAATTGGAATAAGAAGTCATGTCCTTTGTAGAGAAGTTAAAAAGAGAAATGTACCTATATTTAATTATACTTTAGAATGATCCCAATTCAAAAGATAACTTAAGACTTAACGTAAGTGTATCAAAGAAAGGAAAATTTGTATGAAATACTGGTTTAGACAAAATAATTTAATGAATAATTCCTTGATGAAATAATTGAAATGCTTTAGAAAGAGAAAATAAGAGATTGCATCGAATATCTTTCAAACAAGGGGAATAAATAATAACCAGAGTTCAAAATTATGATAGGCCTTCTAAAAAATATATTTGAAATAGATTTTAATAGGAAAAATTATTCTACAGAAGTTTATGAACAAATAAGAAAGGATTTAATTAAATAAGTATCTTACGATAAGCAAATCATCAGATTATTGAAATTCCTTGTAAAACTGACAGCAATTGATGAGAGATATATCTAATGTGGATCCAATTCCTTTAATTTATTAATCGAAATGAAGGTGGATTTGAGGGAATAAACCTTTGAAAACATCAGGATTAGAGATGCTATATTAGTTGGTGGAAATTTTGAAAGATGTAATTTCAATGGATCGGAATTTGATAATGTAGATATTAGTGGAATTAACTTGAACGAAGCATAATTATATAATTGTAAATGGAAAAATATAAAAATACATGAGTTGAATAAATTAGATGGTCATTCACATTATGTCATGTCAGTTTGCTTCTCTCCTGATGGTACTACATTGGCGTCTGGCAGTTATGATAAGTCTATACGTTTATGGGATGTTAAGACAGGATAATAAAAAGCCAAATTAGATGGTCACTCGAGTTGTGTTAATTCTATCCATTTCTCTTCTGATTGTTCTACTTTAGCATCCGGTGGTTACGATTAGTCTATCCGTTTATGGGATATTAAGAAAGGAAAAGAAAAGGCTAAAATTGTTGGTCATTCTAGTACAGTATATGCAGTTTGTTTCTCTCCTGATGGTACAGTTTTAGCCTTTGGTAGCGGAGATTAGTCAATCCGTTAATTGGATATTAAGATGGGATAATAAAAGGCAATATTAGATGGTCATTCTAGTACAGTATATACAGTTTGTTTCTCTCCGGATGGTACTACATTAGCATCTGGCAGTGGAGATTAGTCAATCCGTTTATGGGATTTTAAGACAAAATAATAATTAGCCATATTAGAAGGTCACTCAGTTTGTTTCTCTCCTGATGGTGCTGCATTAGCATCTGGTAGTGATGATAGCTCTATATGTTTATGGGATGTTAAGACAGGATAATAAAAAGCTAAATTAAATGGCCATTCAAGTTGTATTAAATCCATCTCTTTCTTTCCTGATGGTAAAATATTAGCATCTGGAAGTCATGATAAGTTTATCCGTTTATGGGATGTTAAGACCGGATAATAAAAAGCCATATTAGAAGGTCATTCGAGTTTTGTTAATTCAATCTGTTTTTCTTTTGATGGTACTACATTAGCATCTGGTAGTTTTGATAAATCTATCCGTTTATGGGATGTTAAGACAGGATTATAAATAGCCATGTTAGATGGTCATTGCAGTTTTGTTAATCGAATCTGTTTCTCACCTGATGGTACTATGTTAGCATGTGTCAGAAATGATAATTCTATCTGTTTATGGGATGTTACAACAGGATAATAAAAGGCTAAATTAGATGGTCATTCAAACTGTATTAGATAAATTTTTTTTTCTCCTGATGGTACTACATTAGCATCTTCTAGTTCAAATAATTCTATCTGTTTTTGGGATGTTAAGACAGGATAATAAAAGGCTAAATTATTTGGTCATTCGAATTTTTTTAATCCAATCTGTTTTTCTCCTGATAGTTCTACATTAGCATCTGTTAGAAATGATAATTCTATCCGTTTATGGGATGTTACTACAGGAGAGTAAATAGCCTAATTAGATGGTCAACCTAGCACAGTTACATCAGTCTGTTTTTCTTCTGATGGTACTACATTAGCATCTACTGGTTCAAATCATTCCATCAATTTATGGGATGTTAAGGGAGAAAAATTAAAAGTCAAATTATATGGTCATACTAGCAAGGTTTAAAAAGTGTGTTTCTCTTCTGATGGCACTACATTAGCATCCTGTAGTGATGATAACACTATCTGTTTATGGGATGTTAAGACAGGATAATAAAAAGCTAAATTAGATAGTCATTCAAATAGCGTTTAATTAGTTAGTTTCTCTTTTGATGATACTGCATTAGCCTCTTTTAATAGAGATAAATCTATCCATTTATGGGATGTTAAAGCAAAAAAGGAGATTCTTCCTCAAGATTATTGTTACAAAGACCTTCTTCCTTAGTTTAAAATACTCCTTTAAAATTCATCTATTTTATAAAAAGGTATTATTTATTATCATTGTTAAGCTGAAAATGTTTCTACAATTATACGAATATGTCAAAATCCTACATTGGAAGCGAAAGGAGCTTAAATCTTGATGGGAGAATTTGTAAATTATTTAGGCATAGATATGCGATATTTATTCTAATCTAAAGGAAGTTATTTTTTGGAAACTTGTTTACAATCTAAAAATAATTGAAATTTTTTAAATACAAATTAATTTCAAATTTAATTAATATATTTCCTGCTTTTTTTACTTCTATATTTATAATTCAATATGCAAATGAGAAGATTCAATGAATAGGTTTACAAGTATTGGCAGCCATTTTAATTGAGATTTATTGCATACCCATTTAGAAAAAATATCAATACGAATCTGATTTGTCAATAAATTATATTTTATCAATTTATAAACTGATAAAATAAATACTTTTTGTAATATAACTATCATTTTATTCAACTCAAATTTCATAAAGAACACAAGAATTCTTCTATCAAAAAATTGTATGTTATTTTTTATAAATATAATACTTTTAAGAGGTTCGTACACAGTCAGATTGCATATAAAGTTGAAAAGAAAATGGCTAACATTAATTATTAATTTATATCTTTTACGTAAAATTTTATTATCAAAAATAATAATAAATTTATACTGTCAAAAATGATTCCTACTTTATCTTCCAAACGGCAATAATTGATTTGCCAAAATTTCTGTTTTTATGAGACTTTCAATACTAGTTGGGTAAAAAAAAATGAGTATCCAAATTTCTAGTAATATAACCACTTCTTTCTTTTATTATGTGTTCACTTCATGGAACTATATTATTTTTTCAAGGTTCGAAAAGTACCATTATCATGAAATACATTAAATTTCATTGTGATTATAATAATTTTTACCCCTCTCGACACATGAATTAAATTTTCTTTTCATTGTGATAGAGGAGTGATAATTTCGAGAGGATCTCTGGAGTTATTTAAATCTCTATTTATTATTTTTCAAAGCTCCTTTGAAAATAATAATTTACAGCCAGTTATTAAAAGATAGATATAGATTTTGTAAGGTTTTATTTATTAAATAGCTGACAAGAATCATTTTTGAAGATTAATGCTTTCTGGTTTATAGAATTTACTAAATAAATTGCGGAAACCTAAGAAATAATCATAGCCTCCTTAGGATATTTTTTTAGAAGGTTTATTTATTATTATATATACATATTATTAGAATAAATAATCCTTCATGATTTTTGATAATTTCTTAATTCTCCTTGACTGCCTTTTCATAAGGGAATTAAAATTCTGGAGCTATTTTATCTATTCCTCTATAAATATATGCTTTTTAATTTAAATTAAGAATGCTGTATTAAAATGAAAGTTCAACATAGAGATAAGTAANTTTTAAATACAAATTAATTTCAAATTTAATTAATATATTTCCTGCTTTTTTTACTTCTATATTTATAATTCAATATGCAAATGAGAAGATTCAATGAATAGGTTTACAAGTATTGGCAGCCATTTTAATTGAGATTTATTGCATACCCATTTAGAAAAAATATCAATACGAATCTGATTTGTCAATAAATTATATTTTATCAATTTATAAACTGATAAAATAAATACTTTTTGTAATATAACTATCATTTTATTCAACTCAAATTTCATAAAGAACACAAGAATTCTTCTATCAAAAAATTGTATGTTATTTTTTATAAATATAATACTTTTAAGAGGTTCGTACACAGTCAGATTGCATATAAAGTTGAAAAGAAAATGGCTAACATTAATTATTAATTTATATCTTTTACGTAAAATTTTATTATCAAAAATAATAATAAATTTATACTGTCAAAAATGATTCCTACTTTATCTTCCAAACGGCAATAATTGATTTGCCAAAATTTCTGTTTTTATGAGACTTTCAATACTAGTTGGGTAAAAAAAAATGAGTATCCAAATTTCTAGTAATATAACCACTTCTTTCTTTTATTATGTGTTCACTTCATGGAACTATATTATTTTTTCAAGGTTCGAAAAGTACCATTATCATGAAATACATTAAATTTCATTGTGATTATAATAATTTTTACCCCTCTCGACACATGAATTAAATTTTCTTTTCATTGTGATAGAGGAGTGATAATTTCGAGAGGATCTCTGGAGTTATTTAAATCTCTATTTATTATTTTTCAAAGCTCCTTTGAAAATAATAATTTACAGCCAGTTATTAAAAGATAGATATAGATTTTGTAAGGTTTTATTTATTAAATAGCTGACAAGAATCATTTTTGAAGATTAATGCTTTCTGGTTTATAGAATTTACTAAATAAATTGCGGAAACCTAAGAAATAATCATAGCCTCCTTAGGATATTTTTTTAGAAGGTTTATTTATTATTATATATACATATTATTAGAATAAATAATCCTTCATGATTTTTGATAATTTCTTAATTCTCCTTGACTGCCTTTTCATAAGGGAATTAAAATTCTGGAGCTATTTTATCTATTCCTCTATAAATATATGCTTTTTAATTTAAATTAAGAATGCTGTATTAAAATGAAAGTTCAACATAGAGATAAGTAAAACTATTAAAATATCATATATTATTACCACCATCTAAACAGATTGAGACATAGTACTTTTAAAAATAAATTCATGGTATATGTTCTTTATTTCATCACCTATGATAATATGTAATGCCACAAAAAGATTTATCAATAAATATTTTACATCAAATTCAAATTAACTAACATTTGCTGTAAACGAATATAAATAGAATATCAATAAAATATTAAAATTACATCTAAATAACGATGAGAAAGTACTTCGTAATTTTGGGATCGAAAAGGGAATAAAATGAAGAGTTCACTATGATTGTCTATTATACAATTAGCAAGCATAGAAGTCAGGTAATTGGATGTAGGGTTTAAAAATTCTAAAAAATCAAATACGGGAATTGAAATATTATCAAATAACACAGATATCGCCAACTATGATAATTTGGACTTTGATTTAATTTTTCATTCATTTTTCTTTTGTTTATTTGAACCTTTTGGGTTGGGTGAGTTTGAGATAAATTTTGGTTAAAATAATTTGCTTGTATTACCTAATGTAGAAATAACTAAATTTGGTTTTTCGAAATTGCTTCTATTTGTACATGATGTAATATTATTGTAATTATTAAATTCTCTTCATCTGTTTACCATATCTAATACAATAGCTCAATGCGATTTTAGAATAATTAATTTTGAATGGTTTTAAAATGAAGTCTCATTTTAAGTCCTAATATCAATTTATGATAAATTTAGCGTTCATTAAATCATTTCATACCATAGCTTTGAAAGCTTTTTAACTAATTAATTTAAAAATAATCAAATTTGATCAGAACGATTAATTAGAATTATTAATTACAGAAATTCCTTGTAGGAAAATGAATGATTTGATGATAAGAAATAGAAAAAAAAAATGAAGTTTCTTGATTAATAATAATGGGTAATCCTTTTTCACAATCTTCATCTGCCTAGAGACCTTTATTAGTTATGATAGGATTAGATGCTGCAGGAAAAACAACTATATTAAACAGATTCAAATTAGGAAAAATGGAATATTAAATTCCAACCATAGGATATAATTTAGAAAAAATTTAAAGTAAAAAGTTTAATATAATTTCTTGGGATATTGGAGGAGCAGATAAAATAAGAATTCTTTGGATAAATTATTTGTAGAACAATCAAGGAATAATTTATGTTGTTGATTGTTTTGATAAAGAAAGAATGGGCTAGGCAAAGTTTGAATTACATAAAATTTTGCTTGAAATTGTTGAATAACCCCTTTTAATATATGCTAATAAGTAAGACTTAGTAAAAATGAACCCAGAAGAACTAGCTGTTGAATTAGCTATATAAAATTATTCTAAACATTGGCTTATATAACCATGTTGCTCACTCACTGGTGAAGGACTTTAAGAAGGGCTGAATTGGATTGAAGAATAGCTATAACTATAGCTAAAATGAAATATCCTTTTTTTAATTTTATTTATTATCTATGTTCCTTCAAATAACTATTTATCCATTTAGATTATTGAGACTTAATAAGCCAACCAGAAATATTGTTTCGAAAATTATTAAAAACAATTTCTTCTAGTTAGAGTTGAGATTTCTAAATGCTTCATCAAGAACTAACCAAGACTATTACAACTAGCAATTACTATAATTGTACCATAAAATGCTTTCTATTTTAAAAAGGATAATAAAATCTATCACTCCTATTAATTGTATTTATGAATACCCTAATTCTTAATAAGATTAATAACCTGGCTATACACTAATTCAACCCACCTGACTCTTTTTGTTAAGTAAATCTAAAATCTCAAATAATAAAAGATTTATACATTTAACAAATGTTATTGGTTATTTGATATTTTCAAAATAATAATTGAAAGATTCTCATTTCTCAATATAACAGAAAATAATTAACCTAAAATAATACTTTATGGTTTTTTTTTCTTTTCTTAATCAACCACAAAAAAGATAAATTCTTTTAAACTATATTCTGAAAGAAAAGGTGATACCATAAGTATATTATAGATGATAAAAGTGTTTGAAGAACTTTTATGTAAAAATTTACCAATAATAAATTATATGCTTAGGTCAACTCATAAATGTTAGAAATAAGATTCTGATATTTAAGAGGAAATAAATATTAATAATATCCTCATGCAACCATGTAAATTTGAAAGAAGATTTTAGTTGATTTAAATAAATAATCTTTAAAACGCAGTTGGTAATTTTCATAAAAAAGATAAAATTAGAAATTTTTAAACAATATAGAATTATATGATAAATCAAAATATTATCATAATTAAAAGAGTGTAAAGGTTGACATAGTAAAAATTATTTCTTTAACTTTTAATTATTTGAAGTAGGAGGATCTATATATTAAAGAACTTCAAGCTTGACTTTGTAACTTTATTTCATTCTTTGATCTACATTAACATGCGATATATAAATTAGTAGCAGAAGTACAATCTACTAGATTTGAACTTTTATTGATATTTAACTTATATTAATAAAAATTAATTCTATAAAAAATTTCTGGTTTCTATTAAAGCAATTTTTTTTTTGAGAATTATGATGTTATTCAAAAGTTACAGCCTGAAATATAGAATTTATGTTTAATATCGATTTTCTAAATTGAATGAAATGCCAGCTTTTAATACTACATAAATGTATTACACACAAATCATTTATTGACAAAGAATCAACATTGTTGAATAAAAACTACTTTTAAAAAAGTATCATAGTTGGTAAGAATGGAGGTTAAAACCCATTTCTAAATGATTGAAAAAAACACTACTACGAAAATAAATAAGTTGAAAATTTGATAATTAAATTATAAAAACAAGGGATTTATTCATTAAATAACATAGTTCTAACATTCTCTCTTCAAAACTACATTTATAATAATATAATCTCTTAGTTTTTCAATCATCCTAAAGTATAAATTAAAAAAACAAATAGAGAATAAAAATTATTATTTTTTTAGACTAAAGATTGCTGCTTAATCATTATATTGCCGTTTTGAATTTGTGAAGTTTTAAGTAGTTGTCTGTATTATTTATAAATTAAAAAAATGATAATACTTCTACTTTCAATAGAACCTATTCAAATGGGTTGTTGTTAAACACCAAAATTTAAGTAGCCTCTATTAATGCAGAAGTTTTAGCAATCTTAATATACTACTCTGAAATTTAGTTGAATTAAAACTTTGCCTATAGCCTTAGTGTTTTAATTTTCTTGACATTACATTTGATTTTAATTGAAGAGCACTATTCTTCAAGACAAAAAATAGTTAGCTTCAACAATTCCTTATCAATGCATTTCCAATAAAATATGATCTAAATAGATTCAATTTCTGTTGCTATTGTGATCTATTCTAATATATTTTGATTTTGAGAGTAATTTACTTCCTTAATAGTAATATGGGAATCAATTTAATTTTTCTAATAAAAAAATCGAGATTAAATGTCACCTTTGAATATTTCTAGATCAAAATAAGGATCATTGATACAAAAATGATTCTGTTATATTGATTATATTATAGAAGTATACCCTACACTAATAATGATTGATTAAATGGGTAAATTCCTACTGTAATTTCAGGGTAATATGTGATATTTGTCATAAATCTAATATTTTCATCAGTTTCATCATGTTTGAATCCTAGGAAATTTAGATACCAATTTTATTTGGCCCAACTTGAGGGAAAATCGAAAACCTAACTGTAGCCGTCAGGTTTGAAGCTTGTTAATATTTGATAACCAATTTGAGTAATGTTTTCTAATAAAGCTCTATGGTCGCCCCAAAATAATATATTATTATACCGTCAAGTTATTGAATTAAGATCCTGAGGCGTAATAGCTTTCAAAGTTAGAAATTGCAAGATTGATTTTGCAATTTTTTTAGTATGGATGAGTGCATGAAGTTTATGGATTAGAAATATTCAAATTGCTTATGACTTAAACACTTTCGTCGTTGAAAGCAAACCAGTTAAATTCGACTCTAAAATAGTATTTTGGACTCTTACAAACAATTTTCACCTTAAATCCTAAATTTCAATTTACCGTTATTACCAATAGTGCTAATACTAGAGATATCTAATGAATATCCTTAGGGGAATGCCTTTTCAAAATCTAGTGTAACAATATTTAAGTATTACTAAATTTTTTATTCTTCGTTGAGTTTGAGTTTTAATTGTACAACTCGGGTACTTAAGTGAATTACTTAGAAAAGTAATTTAATATTCTTCCTCTCTAAACGGGGCTTTGCTCAAATGTAAAATTAAATTAGCATTTTCTTAGTAATTCAAATGATTGACAAATCCATACTCAAACTTATGATTAGCATGTATATATTATGTAAAACATAAATACAAAATATTTAATAAATCAAATACAAAATTAAATTATAAATTTAATTTAGGGTTAACCATAGAAATTTCAATCTTTTTCATCATTTTAAAATTTCTTAATTCAATACCATTTAGCCTATGCCAAATATTTTGCAGATTGCTAACTTTAATTAAGATCATTTAATTCTTTATTCATAATTTAGAATTTTAAAATATAATTTAATTAATGGTTCCGTTTGGATGCCGGGTTGCAAGTTGATTAATCTTCCATTGTTTGGTTGATGTAAGGAATAGAATTTGGGGAGGTGAATATTTCCGTTTAGATCTTTTTGGATTGAGATTTATTTAATCATTATTAATTTTCTAAGTTTATTGTTATCAGAGTTATTTAATCTCTTTAGTATGTGTTAGTAATGGAATTAATATCATTTTCCATTTAGACTTAGATTAACAAGTAATTGTTACAAAATAGTCATCATCTAATCCAATTCAGAATTTAGGTCCTTCTATAAATATTTAATGATATTTTATTAACGATGCACTCAATAACATACAAATTGCTTTGAATTAACAATAAATACATGGTGCTTTTCTATATTACAGGCAATCGAAATCTCAACAGAAGTACTTTCAAAATTGAATATTATAATCAAATATTTATTTGAATTACATCCCCCTTTGATCAAGCTAAGTGCATTTACAAGATGGTGAATTATATTGCTTAGATATTTTTAAGAAGTTTAATATTCACTTTTTTAAATTCAATATTAAAATTCTTAATTGTGGATTCTTAGAATTAAGGAACAAGAATTTTCCAAGCGAATTATCATTTACTTGAACTAACAAAGATATGACTTTTAATTTATTATTGTCCTTTGATGGCGAGGTACACTGGATCATAAATAATGGGGCAGTTTATTCCTTTATGGATTATAACGATTCTCCTTTATGTTCTTGGAGGTAAACCTAATCGTATTTGGCTTGATGCATCCTAAGTCTAATCACTCTTGGGCTAGGAAGTAGTCACCTTCTTTTGATCCAAAAAAGATAAATAAAATAACAATTTCTAAATCAATTGTTTTTTTTTTTATTTATAACTTCCAATATAATCATAATGCACCAATCAATAATTACATTTTAATTTAATTTAAATAAAGTACATGGATTTTATCTATCATAATATATTCTAATGAAACTAAAAAATATTTGGACATCTTAATCTATATATATATAAGAATTTAGACAGTTAAGTAGGATAGGTTTAATAAAAGAAAACAGAAGAAGTAGTAGAATAGATATTTGTTGGAAGTTTATTAAAATCATTTCATGAATTAGGAAAGTTTAAGAGCGAATTTCTTGATTTTTATTATACCAAATTTAATTAAATGTATTTTAAATAACGCTATTAAAAAATTAAATATTAGATCATTTGCAAGTCTGACTCAATTTTTTTTTTGCAATATCAAAAATAGTTTAAGCATTAGATTCCCCAGTATTTAAAACCAGTTTAGAAAACTGAGATTGTTTATCTATCATTGTTGAATTGAGTGATTATGCCAAAAGATTGAAGGGCTAATCAAACTCAATAACATTTCCATTTTCGATGACCATAACTTTATCATAATCAGCAATTGTATTCAATCTGTGAGCAATTGTAATAAGAGTACATTCCTTAAGCTATTGCTTAAGTGTATTTTAAATAAAATCATCAGTTTTCATATCAAGATTAGCAGTGGCTTCATCTAATACAATGATCTTCTTCTTTTATAATAAAATTCTAGCTAAACAAATTAGTTATTTTTATCCTGTGGAGAACAATGAATTAACATCACTAATATCAGTTAATAGTCCTTTAGAAAATGATTTTGCATATCCAAATAATCCAGCTACTTCCAAAGCTTTCCAAATTGCTTTGTCTTCATATTAATCGAATGGATCTAAATTTGATCGAAGACTTCCAGTGAATAAAAATGGAGATTAAGGTATAATTCCTAAACTACTTCTTAGTTTTTATAATCCTAATTATTTAGTATCAACTCCTGCAATTTCAATCTTTGAATCTTCATAATCTTCTATTTCACTCATTCTGAAAATGGCTTATAAAATTGAAGATTTGCCTGCTCCAGTTCTACCAACACATCCAATCTTTTCTCCACTTTTTATTTAGAATGATAACCCTTTGAGAATTAAATCAGAATTAGTTCTATATTTCATATAAACATTTTCGAATTGAATATCGCCTGATTCTGGAAAGTTTGGTAATTTAGAGTCTATATCTTTAACTTGAGGCGCTTCAGATTCCACATCAACAATTTAAAACATTCTATTATATGAACTCATTTAGGTTGCAAAATTAATTAATTATTTTAAGCCAAGGGATAATCCATCGTTATATGTGATTAACAATAATAATCCTTGAGAGAATACGGCAACATCATTCGAATTGAGATTGAGGAAAATGAATAGACCAACTGATGAAGCAATAAATCCAATAAAATCGATGTTAAAGCAAAAAGATCTTATTGAATAAAAATATGTTAATGAATTTAAATTACATTTATTTGATAAATCTAAAAATTATTTTTTGAATAGATCCTACTATTCATAAACTCTAATCTAGATGGATCCTCCTAGGGTTTTTTTTATGAAATCAAATAATGGACTTCTTTAAATTAGTTCGTTTTCTTTTAATTAACTGACAATTTTATTGTAAAAATGATATTAATAAAGATTTAACACTATGATAAAGCAAATCATAAAGATAAAATAAGGTTACAAGATAGCAAGAGTAATTAAGGCAATGAAAAAATTTCCAATCAATTCTAGAACATCTAAACATACTTAGTTTGTTGAATTATCACACAAAGATAAATCATTAGAAAATCGATTAATAATTCTTCCTGAAGGATTTATATCAAAATAGCATATTGGGGCTAAAATAATAGAATTTATCATCTTTTTATGAATGTTTTAAGTTGTTTTTTGCACTTAAATTACATTAAGAAGATACTTTATAAAACAGCAAACCATTAATCCAATAATTAAGCAAGATAAAAGTATATAAGTTTAATCGATTTAGCCCAAATCTTAATAGTATTCAAACAAAGAAATGACTCTTTGGTATAGCATCGTTAAAACTTCATGTGCAACTTCCAATAATATAACTATAAAGAAAGCGAGGCAGTTCCAATTTTTGAAATATCTCAAGTAAACAGAAAAATCTACGATTTATTAGTTATCAGATTCTTAAACAATAAGATTTCTAATTTCTTTTAAATAAACCTTTTTTCTTTTTTTCATTTGTGGATTTTATTATTGAATATTTTTTTTCGTTCTCACAAGCTGAGTTTTATCTAATTATTCAGCTAATTCACTATTAATCATTTCTAAGTTAGGTTTAATTTAGTCATAAGCTCCTTAGGATATCAATTCTCCATGACTTAATATTGCTATTTTATCACATTTAATTGCATATTAAATTTAATGTGTTGCTAAAACAACTATAGGTTTTTGTTTTTTTGGATTTTGAGCTACTTAATAATCAAAAATAAATCCCTTAATAGCAGCCATAAAAATATTCTCTGCAACACTAGCATCAACGGCTGACAATGGATCATCAAATAAATATAAATCAGCTGTTTAATATAAAGCTCTGGCTAAAGATATTCTGGCTTTTTAACCTCCTGAAAGCGTGACACCTCTTTCCCCAATTTCAGTGTAATCTCTAAATTTCATTAATTCAAAATCAGCTTCCAATTATGCTGCTTCAGCAACTTTTGTATATAGTGCTTTATTGTAAGCCTTTCCAAAAAGAATGTTGTTTTTTATAGAATCAGGAAATAAATAAGGTTCTTATTCAACATAGGCAATCTTTAATTAGTTTTTTGTTGGATCTTAACCATCTATCAATACAAGTCCCTTGTAAGATGGGATTTCACATAATAGTGAAAGCAAAAGTGTTGATTTGCCACATCCAACTCTTCCAATAATAGCCCATAATTCTCCTTCTTTAAAATTTAAGGTCAGGTTCTTTAAAATTGGTTTATCAACTTCAGATATTGAATGTGTCCAATATGCACAGAAATTATATAATTCTATTTATCTTTATTCTGCTTCTATATTTGTAATATATTCATTTTAGGAATCCTCTAGTTTAATCATTACATGGTTTTAAAGATTAAGCACATTGGATATTCTCTCAAAAGTTACTTTAATTTAAATTAAAGCTTGAATTCCATTTGAAACAATGTACACACATGATATTTTCAATGAATTTAGCAGCTAAACAGTAGAAATCATTTCGGCTACTTACATTTCAGTTCTAAACTCTCCGTAATATAAGATAATAAAATATAACAAACTCGACCAAAGATGCGAGGTTTGTGTAAGTAATCTATCAAATACTGTGCGTATGAGTATTTTTAATAAACATATAAATTCACGTTGTCTTATTGTCATTATTATTTTTTGGAATGCTCTCTCCCAAGCTTACATTTTAATTAATCTGATTCCTTCTACTAATTCATTTGTAATCGTCAATCTTTTATCCTAATAAAGCTTAGCTAATTTTAATGTTTCTTGATTGAATGTTGATATTAAGACTTAAATAGGGTAAGTGATAAATAACAATACCACAGCTAATAAACCAATTACACCATCGAATCTAAGCCATAAAATAATACAAGCAAAAAGCAATGAAATAATGACCACACTAATTGGAAATATCATACTAAACATTTGCTCCAAGGTGTTAATATCTCCAGATATGAGATTCAAGATTTTCCCTATATTCGCTTGTTTGAAGGAATAGGAATTTAATCCAATTAATTTGATATATACTAAATTAATCAAAGTTAGACGAGCTTTTGTGGAAAATATCATTGAATAATTAGCTGCGTGATGTCTACTCAAAAGACAAATGAAATTTAATGCTACTAGAATTACTCCATACATGTGAGCATTTCGTAAATCATTTTATGAAACACTGGCAATTACGTAACTCATTATAAAAGAAATCCCATTTTTAGAAATTGATTCTATTAGATAGGCAAAAATGCATTTTCCAGTCATCCATTTCAATTCTCCAAAAAATATTAATTTCACTA